ATTTGTTCCTTCAGGATACTGGAGCCCATGTGCATCATTGGTTTGGGACTATTAAGACAATGATCATTTCAAAGCTGGGAACCCCCAAAAAGAAACCATATTTGAGACGCCGAATTTTGTAATGACTGTAATCTTCCAATCGGTTCAATCACAAGAACTATTAGCAGCATCATATAAACTATTATTATCTTGTGTAGTGATGATGACTACTGTCATAGTTATTTCTAGTATCAGTCAAAATCAATAATTAATGGCACCAGTTATAATAAAACCAACTAACTAGTGCTGGTTGCTGTTGCTAGTAAGTACCGAGCCGAGCTAGCTTCTAGGCTAGCCACTATTCCACCGAAAAGTATAGATGAGCATTGGTTGCAATTGCATGACGCCATGAAAATGGCGGGTCAAGTCAGCTGTGGGATTGCGAAACGTCCCGCTTACAAGCACTGGGTCTCTTCTGGTTCCTTACAACTGATTGAAGCCCGTCGGTCTACTCCGGGTGACCGTGAGTTTGACCGCAGACGAAGGTTGTTACGTAATGAAATCGGGCAAAGCTTGCGTAAGGACCGAGAAACCTGGTGGTCGGAGCGTGCCAGTGAGTTGGAAGCAGCAGCTGCATCTGGTAATTACCGGAAGCTCTTCCAACTCATCCGAGCCACTGGCAGCAAGAAGTCTGGTGTGAGCGAAACAATCTGCGAGGATGACGGAACGCCAATCACTAACATCCATCGACGTCTTGGACGATGGGCAGAATTCTTTGAAGGGCAGTTCAACTGGCCTGCTGCTCCGGCAACATCGGTCAGACTGTCCTGCCCTCCTTGGCCGGTGACGACTGACCCACCAAATGAGGCGGAAGTCCGCAAGGAACTCCAACTCTTGAAACGTTACAAATCACCAGGCCCAGACGACTTACCCCCGGCTCTTTTTAAAGATGGTGGTGACTTTCTGACTAAAGGACTGACGACGTTGTTTACAAAGATCTGGGAACTAGAGAGTGTACCAACGTCATGGAATGAGTCGATAGTTGTCCCTATCTTTAAAAAGGGTTCACGTTGTTCCTGTAACAACTATCGGGGGATAAGTCTACTTCCGATTGCGTCCAAGCTATTGGCTTCCGTCATACTTCGTAGGTTGTTCAGAACCCGAGAAGGATTGACTCGCGAGGAGCAGGCTGGGTTTCGTTCTGGTCGAGGATGTATTGATCATATCTTCACCCTCCGCCAAGTGTTAGAACACCGCCATACTTATCAAAGGCCAACAATCGTAGTGTTTCTTGATATCAAGGCTGCTTTCGATTCGTTGGACAGAACTGTTCTCTGGGATTGTCTATTGAAGAGGGGTGTGCCTGAGAAGTTTATTAACATCCTAAAAGCCTTATACACAAACACCTCAGGTAGAGTGAGGGCATACAACCACCTTTCTCCACTATTCCATTCAAGCAGTGGAGTTAGGCAGGGTTGCCCAATCTCACCATTCCTCTTCAACTTTGCCATCGATGACATTCTGGAAACAGCTCTGACGGATGTAAGTAATGGTGGTGTGGATCTGTTGCCTGGAGAAGGACTTCTCGACCTTGAGTATGCGGATGATATTGTCTTACTGTGCGAGAATGCCCAAGCCATGCAATCCGCACTTAATCAGTTGGCAATCAGTGTCCGTAGGTATGGTATGTGCTTTGCACCTTCGAAGTGCAAAGTACTTCTACAAGACTGGCAGGATTCTAATCCTGTACTCACTCTGGATGGTGAGCAGATAGAAGTAGTCGAGAAGTTCGTGTATCTAGGTAGCTGCATAAGTGCTGGTGGTGGCGTGAGTGATGAGATCAATGCACGTATAGTGAAAGCCAGAGCGGCTTATGCCAATCTGGGCTATCTTTGGCGCCTTCGTGATGTTAGTCTGGCTGTAAAAGGTCGGATCTACAACGCGACGGTGAGAGCAGTTTTGCTCTATGCTTGTGAAACCTGGCCTCTCCGAGTTGAGGATGTTAGACGACTCTCTGTGTTCGATCATCGTTGCCTCCGAAGGATTGCTGGCATCCAGTGGCAACACCATGTCAGTAATGCAGAGGTTCGGCATCGAGTGTTCGGTCACAGAGACGATAATGAAATTGGTGTCACCATCTTGAAACACCGACTTCGGTGGCTTGGACATGTTCTACGAATGTCGTCCCAGAGAATTCCTCGTCGTGCATTATTTGCCGACTCTGGGACTGGTTGGAAAAAGCGGAGAGGTGGTCAGTATATGACATGGTGTCGTGGTATGAAAGAAAGCTGCAAAGGGCTAGCTTATGTTGGTCCTTCACGACTCCCTGGTTGGGGTCCGAGAGATGGTGTAACGCAGTGGCTAGAGACGTTATCAGATATGGCTCAGAATAGAAGCCAGTGGCGATCCTGCTGTAACCTTCTTTTACTTTCTTCATAAAAAGGTGGTCGTATTCTTCCTTATCTGAAAGATCTGTTCTGATTGTACCTTTCCGTTTCCCCCACCATTGTTCTCTCTCTCTCTTCTTTTTTTTTATAATTCCCCACGTTAATTACTTTTTTTTTCTTCTCTTTTCTCCTTCTCTTCTAATTATCACTGTTTTGTGTGGCGCCTATATATATTTGGTGCCCCCCCTGAACTAGTGCTGGTAAAACAATATTTGTAATAATAGTGAAAAAACAGCCAATTCTCTGAACGACCGTAAACAAAATTAGATGATTAAGTATAGTTTTTTCTCTCCTTTAACGCTAGAAACGATCCTACCATTAGTGATCTCAACAATACCACCTACAACTTATAAAACTATCACAAATACACAACACAACGTACACCTTAAACATTAATCTGATAGCCTCTTTTCTTTCACGATCAACAAACCAGTTTACAACATGCTTGCACCGTAAAGGAGGTTGTTGATCATCATTAGCTGGATAAAGAAGTTTGAAGAAACGATGATAATTACTCAACGACCACGCTGACCGGAGTTTTAAAGCAAATGAAACACATGGATTAGTTTTGTGAGTTGGACGTAAACCAGCCATGATAGTATTGATACCTAGTGAAATAAAGAAAGATTTGGTCATATCCCAATTCAGTAATACAAATAAGGCATTCAAATAATGAGGTGAAAGACATGAACGGATCTCCAACAGATAAATCATTTTAACAACTAGTGCTAACAGGTGAAAGCCGTACAAATACGGTATTTTGCTCAACTGATTCACATAATGTGGTCCTTTAGTTTAACGAGTGTCCCAAACCAACTGTCTTACATTCTGGCACTATGAATCTTCACATTTTCAGTTAGAAATAACAAATTGATCTTACACTTAAATCATATTCACATCAGTAAAGCTACTGAATGTTGCAAGAAGACTTCACTATTGTAGCCGGAAAAAGAAAGAGGTCATATGGACCAGTTTCCAGACACACACAACTACTGATAATTTGACTCGAGATACAATAAATGAAAAGTGAAGTACCATTAGAAATCTGCGGTCAAAGGGTAAATAATAACATCATCTCCATAGGGCTGTAGTTTATTGGGTTAAAGACTAAAAGTGAATCAGGGATCGCACGTTTACTCTGTCTAAAGTAGTTTTATTGGTCAAGTAATATTTCCAATACAGATAATGAACACCTCTTTCCACTCCTGAGATTCATAAATATTTAGTCAGTAGATATTAATAAAAAACAATCAACTGATCGCACAGAAAGAAAATATTGAGAATGCTGATGTTAATTTAAGGACAATTGAACATTTGGTCAATCAGGATAAAGAACCTATGAAAAGTAGTTTCTAAAAGAAAATATCCTTGACGACTTTCAAACTTAAAATGAAACTAGCTGCTAATAAGATGTCACGAAACGTGGAGCCTCTTAAAGTGAAAAGCTAAGCTCCAGTAAGATAATAAAGCAATTTTAGGAGTGCGATTAACTTACCCAAAATATCGAGAGTGAAGATGTAATAAAGAAGTCTGTAGGCAGTAAATTCTAGCAGCCTACTAACACCTAAGCCTTCTTTATGAAGACGAAGCAACTGACTTTGACATTGATGAAATTCTTCAAAATCACCAGCTTCCAAGGCTACATCTGCATGTGCTTCATAAACCGATACTGCAAAATCATCTTCGATACCTTGTACCTAAAACGATTCAATATGTTGTAAATTCATTAAAAAACACTTTACATAAAACACATTTCCTACGTAAAAGATAGTAATGACGAAGCAGCGTCTCTAATTGTAAAAACACTTATCTATTAAACATTAGGTCACAGATTTGAACCACATAACTCTGAGTTTCATTAAGGAAGACGAGTACTGTCGTTAACTCTCACACGAATAAAGTATGGTTGGGAAACAACTACATGAACCTGTACTTCATGAGTCACATAATAAAGAATGAAATCTAGATATTTTTTGCATAGTAATAACATACATCAATACATCGAACAAATGACTAAAAACACTAGGGGACATGGAAAAATGTAATACGGAAGCTTGGGTACAATCTAATCTTCCCTCCCTAATGTGTTCAGTAGCTATATTTAAAGACATTGATGGAAAAATAAGTGATAATCAATCTCGTCATAAAATTCACTTATTTTATTTTTATTATTTATTTTAACACATAAGTATAGGTACAGGGAGGCACCAAATACATATGCGCCACACAAATCTCAATTGATTTGTGTGAGGGCTGTGATACTGCCCGGGTGCCCAAACCGAAGCAGGTGGTTTTCTTAGGAGGCCACACCCCAAGCCTTTGACTTGAACGTCTGACCCACAAGGCAGTGGAGCATCGTGAGGAGATGCAGTCCCATGGTAGCCGGTGACCAACGATTGGTTCATACGCCATTTGTTCCCGCAGGATACTGGAGCCTATGTGCACCATTGGTTTGGGGTCCGTTAAAGCGCCAGACATTCGCTTTTCGTCCTCTCATTTTTTGTAAACAACACCCCCGCCACCAGAAGGCAGTGAGTAGGACTTCCCTGGCGGGGGCTATATACGCATGGCCATGTGAGAGCATTTCGAGAGGGAGAGCGGACTCTCCCCACTCTCGGCCGTACCAGGGCATTTGGGGGCTGTGATCAAGAAAATAGATGGTAATAATCTGTCAAGTTTCAAACGAATCAACTGACAATGATGAAGAAACAAAATCTCATTCACTCTCATGTTATCGTAAAATTTGTTTATTAAATTAACTATTCAGATAAATAAAGTTGATGATTTATTTGCTTATAACATAAGCTTAAGATGCTAAAGCATACAAGTTCTTAGGAATCATCTAACATCGAATGCGTGCAAAAACACAAGGAACTTTCTCTCATATGCACACAATGTGTTCAGAATGTCATGCATTATAACACCGACTGTATCTAATAAATTATTTATGTACTGCGTGTTATCCAAAGCATCGTGTAAGGATAAATGGATGCCAGAGGCTAACTGAGTCACCTCAGTCGGATAGATGAGAGGCTGGATGAGAGCAGACACGTCTAAACTAGTTTTTGCGATAAATTAGAAATATAGTAGTTACTTCCAATTACTTTGGACTTCAGTCACTTTAATATGATAACGATATGCGCAAAATAACAACAGGAGAAGCAACAGTAAGACTTACAGTTAAGTCTTGACGTATACTTTTGAACTGCTCACACACCCAGTGATAATCGGTATTTGAACGCCATTTTTCTTTGACGTGCTCCAAAGAAAGCTTCAAAACTGCTAAGGGTCGCACTTCTGTAGGATCTGGGGCCTGAAAGTAATGGAGAAAGTCATCTTACAACCAGTGAATTACTATAAAATTGGTTTGCTGGAAGAATCGATGATTACAAGTATGGTAAGTCAGTTGCTCACTCAAGTGTGTATACGCATATATTGAGAGTTGACATAAACTGAAGCAAGCAACCTCTACTTATCCCCTGGTTACACAAGTGACGTATTACAATTGTTAGCGATGAATAAAGCTAATAACATCTAAGACTCAGTCGCGTATACATAATCCATTACCAAACAAATTTTCATGATGAAAACTTCCTAGAGTTCAGTCATTATTGAAGCGGCTCAATAGTAAAAAACTGTGGAACCGAGCGAGTCGAGTTAAACACTACATCGACTGTCAGTTTTTTTTGAGAATGCAGGCATTCTCCGTTGACGAGTCCCAACTGGCTAGAAACTTGAGTGCAAAGTTTTCTGCTACCTTAAACCACCTCAAATCAAAATATAGAGCATGTGATGCCGAGCCGCTTAGGCTAACGACAACATTGAAACCTGATTGGACAAATGTGACAATGGTTACTACCTATTTACTAATATTATAACGGTGCCTCTAGAACACCGAAGTCTCTGTCGAAAATTCGTAGTCAACCTTACACAAATATAACTTAATGAAAATTATGTGGATCAGATTCTATGTGCGGGATAGTGTAAAACACCGGTTTGAAGTTTGTGTTGTTGTTTATGAAAACATTGAAAGCTTTACGACTAAACCATCCAGTGCACACAATACACCACAACAATTATACTCTTGAGCTACAAACATAAATGTACATGAATAGGAGCGTGAGTATTCTACTAACAAGTACGTATAAAAATGAGCAACTAATTCGTTGACGCCTACACAGGAAACTATGATGCACCATAATTACACAAAATCATTTATATATATTTTTTTACAGATAACTAGTAAAAGGTGAAGTTTATAACTAATGGGTAACTGAAAAAACACTACGAATACAATCAACGCAATCGATGGTACTGACAAAACTTACTCGAGTCAGTCTTAAGTATTGTTTTTCTATTTCTTGCATGGTACCAATGATTTGACAGCTACCAAAATCAACAGCTAGATCATCACGTTCGTCAGTGTAATTCGAAAGCAACTGACTTGTGGTTCGTCCAATGGAGCCTGATCCAATAGGTGACTGCACTAGATGATCTTTAAATCTACTGGCTCGTTGTGTAAGGCGAGATTCACTTGGAGGAGTATGCTTTGAAATATTTCCACGTTTACCACGCCAGTTGCCACGTCCACGACCCCTTACAGCTGTCCCATCTTCATTAGAAGTATTTGCGTCTGTACTTGAGTCGGCGTTTGAAGCAACACCACGTCTTCGCCGTCTACCTTTGGAATTCCCCCTGGTGGTTAATTGCGGAGTACTAAAAGATGAGAGTGAACATTTATGGAGGCTACTGTAAGATAGCGAACATAGATAAGAGGAACATGCAATAACTAGTATGAGATCTTAATAAATATTTTGAAGGGATTAGTACAAAGCATTAGATCGGATTAATTAGATGAGAAAACTTCGACCGCTTGATACTGATGGTGCAAGTTAAACTTTCTACAGCTGATATGCTTAAAAAATGGTTGATGTTATATTCTAATTCCTGACCATAAGGTTGCAAGCAATAGCGGCGACATATGGCAAAATGAAAGCCATAGTCAAGTCTGACAACTTCGATTTATACTTAATAGGATATGGTAATAAGTCGCTTATTCATTTCATCTAAAGCTCACGTATAACAATATGGATTTATTGTCACTCTAGTAGCATTAGTTACGTGTGTTGTAGTCTTCAAATGATTCAACATATTAATAAACAATGTGCCAGTTGTTTTTAGAAATATGAAGGTGCTAAGGAGAGCATAGGCTATTTATTACATGTTGACTGCTATCGCTTTCAGTTCGCTAACTTAGTTGCACTCCAAGTTCATTTCATATTACTACATAAAGTTGTTCCTTGTTAATTTTTGACTTCTGTACGGAACATCAAGTCAACCTGAATGTCGTGTATTCTTTATTAGCGTATGAACTATTAACTTTGAAGAGTTGTGTGACAGGCATTCCGTTTATCAAATTACCTATTAGCTGCGTCTTATTACAAGAATAATCGTAAATAGAATTTACGGTAGGTCAGTCGGAAACCCAACAAACATGATTGTTTTTGTCACAATTTAACAGAAGGGAAAAAGAATACCACGTCGGAAAGTGCTTCCAAGTGAAATTCGACTGCCTATATATTTTAAATACAACTAACGATAAATAAATGATTCTCTATGTTAAACGGATCTGAAAGTTGATTAAAACTCCTAGAAAATCCAAGGGCTTCAGTCAGTCATATTGAAACACCTGCTTATGTTCAGGTGAACTTAAAAGGAGCATGATGTAAAATGTGAAAAGCTGTTAATTGAATTTAAAGTGAAGAGAAATAGACATATTCATTGTTTTGATTAGTTTTACCCTCTAACGTCTAAAATTATTAGTTTTCTCTCGTAGATTCTACAATTCTCTATAGGCCTTATATTAACAGTCAAAACTTCATAGATAAATGTCATCTATTGAAATTGAATACACAATTTCTAACTACCAAAAATATTTAATAAGAATGTCAGAGCTAGATACTTTTGAAGATTGAATTAAGATATATAGAATGTATGGACTGGTAAATAACTTCTATTAAGATTTTAGGGGAACGCAGATGTTTGAATCTTTAGGCAAAATGAGAATAATATCAAAGTGCCTTACAACCATTTAGAACTACCTACACTTTTTTCTGTTAAAAATATTTAATTCTACCTTTTTTAAACATAATTTTATATTCACATAAAACTATTAACAATTTATTAACCTATATCAACTTGGACGTATATGACAAGAATGGAGTAAAATACGTTTTATATTCTGCGAAACGTCTTCCCGATTGGTCCAAGTCGAACATTTTCTCAACTTAAGCCTTTAATAGGTCGCAACTAAACATTTCGAAATAAATAATATACTCGATTACCACTCATTGGATCAACTATTTAAGGCTAACGATAACAAATACCAAAGGAGGCTATGAGAAAGTACCGGTCTCGACTAACCAGTTGACTATCAAGAGCATTTATAACACTGAATATATGCTAGAATTCAGTTCCCACTGGAGTTTGAACTCAATGCAATTGACAATTTATGGAACTTATTCTTACTTTTTGCCTTTACATGAATATTTTTGTTTCGACATAGTGAACAATATCACCACACAAATGTAAGCTGATTTGTTTGCTCACAGCAACTTTCTCAAAAAATGGTTTAGAACCCATTAGATACATTGGTGTGAACAAAATGCATACAGTAAAACCAAAATGTGGAAATCACTGGCACACCTTTTTTGAGAATCCTTTACATCATTCGGTTTTCGCTGCGCATGCCGAGAACCAGAGCGCGACCGAGAGTCCCGACGCCGATGGCGTTTTGTCCTGAAACTACTTGAGGATGAAGAATGAGGGGAGCCACGTGATTTTGAAGATGAACTAGACCTGGATCTATATAAACGCTTTCTCTGCCAATCTTTTAAAGGTTTGGAAACAGGAGAACGACTAGGTGAGCGAGATTTCGATGGCAACTTTTTGGATGGTGATATACTCTTAACAACTGAAGACGAAAACACATTGCGGCCACCTCTCGACAAAAGCCCAACAGGAAGACGTGCAGGAGCTCCCCTTGATGGACCCGTTGGGCGAAGTCCACGAGGACTGGGAAGTTGAACAGGTCGCACGACACTAAACGATTTCATTCAAAAATGTAAATATCTAATTAATCACAGTTAGATTATTTACTGACTGAGTTACAACTTAAAGAGGAGGTTAAAAAGTCACTAATAGGTGAGTAGATATTTAGTGAAAATTAAAGCATTACTGGAATGTGTTACTAGTACTTTCGGTTGATTTATCATTTATTTATTGACTAAGTCCCACTAAATAAGTAAAACAAAATAGACAACCCAATAGGTATCAGTAAAATACAATTTAAAACCTAAATTAGACGGCAAAATTTAAAGGACTTAGATAAACTATCGCAAAATGATAATAGAAATTAACAGGTCGAAATTAGTACCTAGAAGACATATACACAGGAATTCCTGACAACACTACAATTGGACCAGAATCATTACATTTTCCCCTTCTGACACAAAAAAATACCACGATTTATGGAGTGATCTTTACTAGACACAAACATAGTAAGACTTTACCGTAAGTTGACCTTACAATTTTATTTATTTATTTTAACACATAAATATTGTTACAAGGAGGTACCAAATACATAGGCGCCACACAAATCTCATTTGATATGTGTGAGGGCTGTGATACCGCCCGGATGCCTAGACCGAAGCAGGTGGTCTTCTTAGGGGACCACACCCGAAGCCCTTGACCTAAAGGTCTGATCCACAAGGCAGTGGAGCATCGTAAGGAGATGCAGTCCCGTGGTAGCCGGTGACCAACGATTGGTTTATACGCCATGTTCCCTCCGGATACTGGAGCCCATGTGCACCATTGATTTGGGATCCGGTTATAGCACCGGACATTCGCTTTTTGTCCTTTCATTTTCGTAAATAGCACCCGTGGTGCGAGAAGGCAGTGAGTAGGACTTTCCTGGCCTTACAATAACCTTAAATAAATATTACAGATGGCTAACACTTCAATGAACAACCTGGCGTAGTGTCAAAATAGCAATACTTCCATTTAGCAAATTGTAAGAAAACAATTAATTGTCTTTCGTTTTACTACCATGTGCAATTTCATACTTACAAACTTTTAGAGATAAGACTGAATTCTATTCCTTCAATTATGCATTTACTACCCAGAGATTGGTTAACTGAGAGCATGCAAATAACAGTCATGTTAATGGCAACATTGACACGATGTAAGCCATCAATGCAAAGGATGAAAGATCGATAAGTTAGTTACATCTAGAGGTAGTGCAGTCATCAAGACCCATGAGAACTGTAGAACGTTATCAAGCGAAGTAACATTCACATTCATTTAGGAAGGAATATATTAACCGACACTGTGATAATAAACCCTGTCACAGGAAATCTTATGAATAAATAGACATTTAATACAATGACCAAGCCAGATATCTACTATCCAAAAGTACAATATAACTGGTGAACTACAGGACGACCTCGATTTCCTTATCTAAACCGACTGTGAAGAAATGCATAGAGATGCAAGGCAATACCGATGACAGAAAAAACACACTAAAGTACTGCTTACTTGACAGAATTACCCCTGATATTAAAGGATTTACGGAAACTAGCAATCGCACGACTAGGGATAGTTGGAATATTTTCTGTCTTCCAATCGACCTTGATGTTATTTCTAAAAACGTACTCCAATTTTTCTTTTAAAATTCGCTCCATTTGATCTTTTTCCTCACTTGTATCAATGCTGCAAAAAGCTCGCTGGACGTACTCTCTATAAGAAAAATTTGGGATCAATAAATCAATAAAAATGTAAAAAAACGGAAATGTAAACCTTTCGATACAATATCAAAAATAATAGAAAAGGACAGTGGTTTTATTCGCTATCCAATAAAAAGGAACATCCAACATAACCCAAGTAATCCGGAAACTAAATATATCAACTTATCACTGGCTGTCTTGCACTGATATTCCTGATAAGCTGCTGAATAGCTGAAAACAACAAAGTATGAATGAGTGTCCCGCGCATTTGTTTTTCTGTCTAACTTAGCTGATGAGGCATGCTTACTCAACAAGAATATTACATATCAACTGAAACTCTATCTTTGGGTGAAAACATTCATCGAGCACTTATTCAGAAAAATAAAATGTTAATAAACTGAGTTAGTAAAGAAATATCTCATGGTGAGTTGAGAAACTGATGCCGAACAACTAATCAGACCACGGAAAGGCCAATTACTGGCGTTATTAAAAATTCCCAACCGTAGACTTACTTGAGTTCATCGCTCCACTGCTCTTTTGCTCCTTTGTCCTGAAAACTAGCAGGTGGTTGCTGTAAGACTTCTTTAGAAATTGGGGTATTCGCAGTATTTTCACTAGCCACTGTGTTTGAAGAATCTAGATAATTGAAATTAGTCTCAATAGTCACCACATAAAATAGTACTTACAAAACCAATCATATTCGGTCATTAATATGCTTTTAGTTCAATACATCGACGATTATAAAAAGGGACATGCACTCAGCTCTTACTTATAGCGTTGAAAGTTATGTTGGAGAACAAGTCAAATCTTATGCGTTATAAATGTGTTCGTGCAGTACGGTACAACTTCTCGCAAAAACAATTGATCAATATGGACCACTCGAAAACTGAAGGTCTGTTTTTGGCAAGTAAATAATCCTGAAATTAAGCGTAGAGTACTGTGGAAGGATCGCTTATGGCTGTGAATACTAATCGATTGGTAAACAGAGTTAAGTGGAATCGACAATCCCGCCACCTCGTCGAGTAATGCTGGCTGCAAGACTGAGACCAGGCCAAAATGTTGGGTCACATGAGTCAGAGTGAGTGGCAGTGACGTAAGCGCATCCTCCGGATCTTAAGTTTTGATGCTTAGTTTCCCATTCCTCTTCGAGATATTCTCTATGCTCACTTTTTCTAATCATAACTAATATCACTACTATTGAAATCCTCATTTTTCGATTGTCGTTCTCATATAGTGAGACAACTTGGGCTTCACGTCGACTATATCTGACTGACCCCCGAATATAGATAATTAGACCAACGTTTTTATGCACAAAATCCGAACCTATAAGATAATCTTCGTAGATTTACTGTCCTAAAGATACACTAGATATGTTTATCTGTTTTACTCTGTCAAATTAATGACGCTATAATACAACCCTGAAGACTTCCTTACACAGATTTCAGCCTGAATTGTTTGTTGATGCTGAAACTGCACATGTGAATCAAAAACTAGTCTCGTTTGACAATGATAACGGATTTATGGAGGTAATTGACCAGTATATTCACCTAAAAGAAACCGTCATCATTAAGTAGACATTCGCAATGATTACCAGGACGAAACCTTAAACAGAAAATAGTGCAGCCCACTAACCAGCTAATGGCCAATATATTGATGTGGTTTGCCGCCGTTGGTCTGGAGCCTCCTAGCCGCTGAGGTATATTGAGTTAATATTAAATTCAAATCCATGAACAATAAGAGCAACGTAAATCAGAGATCAAGCAGATAATTGTGTGCTTAAATGAGAAAACTGACATTACGAGAGTTATCGTGCCGAATTAGATGGGGGAGCTTTAAACTGTAACTTGACGGTTGAAAGATAAGAGTTTTGACCACTGAACCACTTTAATCTGAAGGTTAAGAACTCAACAACTATATTAGCAAAAACCAGTCTACCTCGAGATATAAATCAAGTATACAATAATGTTTGAACCATGCATGGATACGTATTTCTTACCTAAAGTACCCTGGAATGGAAACCGTGGACCCGTCACTGCTAAACCATTGGGATGAACAGATGGTCTTCCGTCTGGCCACATACTAAATGACTGAACCGAACCGCCGTTAACTGGATAACCATAAGTAGGCCTCACTGAGTTCCAGTTACACCCTAACTGACTTTGTACATGCAACGGGAACTGGGAAGAACCATATGAAGAATACGAAACGTTTGGCACCATAGGCCTCTGTGGACTTGGGTCGAACATGACCGGTTGACGGGGTGGGAGCGTAGGTGAATAAGTATAAGCACAAGCGAAGTTCTGAGAATGAAACGGGGTCGAAGTACACCACGATGTGTCATAAGTTGCCGAAATGGAGCTTGTCATTGTAACAGTCCCATCCATCTTGGGAGCAGTAGATTCTACTCCGGGTGGGGGAGGTGTGGAAGGTTTTTCTTGAACTGATGGGACTGGGATGGTTTGATGATTATAATCATATGTCTACAGTGGTGAGTGGGTAATGAAATAACTTACCTGGGCAGGTTGTGTATAATCATAATATCCTGGACAAGCACCTTGCCAGTAAGAACCATATGAGCCCCACTGAGCCATTGATGTTTTCTATATAAGTTTTTCCAAGAAACTAAATTATTTGCAAGAAATGGAAACACGTCTTGAAAGTCTTACTTTTAATATACACTTATTTAAATAAACTTTAATTTTAATCCAATACGCCTAAATTTCAGCAAAACATATTTCAGTGAAGATTGTTCAAACTCTGCTTACAAGTAACCCCTACCATTTACCAAACAAACTCCCTAAGCCGTCTAAACAGAGGACAGAAAAATGCTCAATCCACTAATCTAATGGACGAGTTCCAACCATGAAATCGTCTCACCCATCGTCCCTAGTGACGCTGTTCACATGGTCGTACCTGAAGATTGATTTGTGCAAATTTATTTTCACTACATGGGCATTAAACGGACGGAGTGACTACCAGCATGAGGATGTTAGCGCCATATAGTCGACAGACAAATGAAAGCTACGTCCACAAGAAAGTATTTACTTAGGAAGTAAGATAGCCGCTAGCAATTCATTGACAACTACTATTTTATCAGATACAAAAAACTGCCTCAAAGCACATATGTTGCTTATTAGGGATTTCAAGAGGATATCAGACTACAAGGTTTACTAAACAGAAGGGCCTCTACAAAGTTAACTAAAAATATTAAGCCTGAATTACACAACACACAAAAACAGTATTTCGTGTTATTTTCCACCAACTATACACATACGAGTTTTGCACAAAACAAAGTTCATAAAAATATTACATGGTCAGTGGGAGAAAAATAAGAGTCAATTGCGGTTTGCTTCAAGGTTAGCAATACCAGCTAAGCATACCATTATCATAAAAATGCAACAAATAAAATAATCGTCTTAGTCTACCGCCTGGTTGTTCATTTTATATACTAAGTCGGAAAAAACGTTAAGCAGTTAAAAAGAAAACTTGTTTTAACCAGATTTTAGGAAACTTTAACACGAAAGTCCATATGTAGCCATAATAAATTCCAGTTAAGTAGAGAACTGGATCTCAAATGCAGAAGTGGTCCATAAGTGCTTTCTACTAGGGCTTACTACATTTGCTCCAGCGCTTACTAAGTGGAACAAACTGATCTGCTTTAATTTGTACAAACGTCAACTATATCAGTCAGGGCTTAACGTTCTTACCATGTTGACTTCCTACAACCATTATGTTCCTAACCCCTCTTTATCAAGTAAATGTGCTTACAACCAATCCAAAATCTCCCACTGGGTCACTAACAACAGAGAAGAATGAAGTCACTACCCACTAAACACATACCGACTTCGATACAACCTCTAACTAACCCTGGAGGAAACCGAAACCGAGAGACGTCGGGCAACCTATTCAAACAACCACTTAATCTAAAGTCATAACTTGTATTTTTAGTCTAAGTACAGTAAACCCGAAGCTCATATCTTTCGTTATGTAGTCTGTTTTGATTTATTTGACATTCTCTTAGTGTATTTCATGGATATACAACATAATGCTTCTACTAGGAATATGTCATTGAAGGTGATAGCATGGTGAATGAACAAGACACAGTGCTTGCCAACGCATTATATTGGTGATATATGGTTGACGGCTGTATTTGCTCGAATGAGGTTGCAAGTAACGCGCTCCAGAGAGGGAGTTCCCTGGAAAGTTTATCGTAACAGATTTGAGGCTGGAAAAAATGCGGGGATTGATGGAAAACCTGGGAAACTTACCGTAGGTATTGTGATGCCTATGATGAAGTCAAGGAAATCTCGCCCTCTATAACCCTAAATGGGAAATAATTGTTGATGCTAATGCTTCTAGTTATGGTGTTGGTGTTTTTATTAGCTATCGTTTTCCAGATGGTAAGGAAAATCTATGAATTGTGCACCATGATCTCTAAATGTGACAGAACTGAAGTATAGTCAAATAGAAAAGGATGGGTTAGTTTTGCTCTTCACCATCAAGGAATTCCATAAAATTATTTATGTGCGTCGGTTTGCATCGTTCACAGACCACAAATCCCTTCTCTCTATTTGTGGGTCAAAGTCCGGTATCCAGACGTATACTGCTAGTCGTCCGCAACGTTTGGTGGTCATGTCACTCACTTATGATTTTAAAATTAAATGTTAATCCAAAACAAATTTCTGTCAAACCAATGCTCTCTCCAGATTGATTGCGAGGTAAGTCTGAAAACGAAGACACTGTCATTGACCACCGTATCTCTGGAAGCAGATAATAATCAGATACTACAAACTACAATACAAACAGCAACCGTGTCAGAACGTGATATTAAGTGTGCAACTCAAACAGACTGCAAGCCTTCAAGCATTATTTGTCATCTCTAATTCGTTGGCTCTCACTGTTAAATGCTAGTAAATATATCGTCAAGTTCTGTCACAGTTTCACTCTGCGCATCCACGTATTGTTTGAATAAAAGCATTGGCTAGAAGTTATGTATATTGGTTAAACATCGATAGCGAAGTCGAAGCTTCTGTGGTTAAGTGCTCCAAATGTGCTCAAGCTTCAAAAGCCCCTCGGAAGACTGAACTTTGCTACTGGTAAAACAGGACACATTCATACTCGAGAAAGCATGCAGATTTTGTCAGGCTCATTAAACAGAAATACTTCTTAATCACCATTGACACCTTTCTTAGATAACCAGTGGTACATCAATCAGGATGACATTGGGTAAACTACTTCAAATATTCGACTGTTTCGAGTTTCCGTAAGTGATAGTCTCCAAAGATGGTCCGTAGTTTTCATCTATAGAATTTCATCATTCCTGCATTCTGAACGGCATTAAACGTGCCAAGACTTTTTCATACTACTCGCGGTCAAATAGGCAGGCTGAAAAGTTTATCGACAATTTCAAGAGAATATTGAGAAAATCCCAGGAAGATGGAAAATTAGAGGGATTAGTACAGATGTTCTTGCTTGCGTATTGTGCGGCACCAAATTGTAGGACGATTGACTCGCTTTCTCGGACAAAATTAACCTTCAAAAGAAAAACTAAAACACGGCTAGAAAATATGAAGCCCTTCCTAAAAAGATCCCAACAGACCCTAATAACAGGTTTATTAACGGTTTTTTAGAAAAAAATGAAGTGCCGTAAGATACGACTTAACTATATGGTAAAAACCTTGGAGTTTATTTTCCCACGATTGTATTTACACATATTGATTACATGTTTATTAAGCGTTTTGGTTTTATTATTTTCCTACTAACGTAGTTCTAAGCTTTTATTAAACCGTGGATTTCTACTACAGTATTTTCCACTCATAGACTAGAACCAATTGTTCATGTACCCAGCTGTCTGTTTTCTCATCATTAATTAAACTGTATACCAAAATGGCCTGCTGTGTGGTCTGGCCTTGTACGTATATAAATCATTGTCTAAAATACAATAGGGTTTAGAAACATAACTGGCAAACACACTAGGTATAACGTACTTGTTGAAGTCATTATTGTGAGGAACTGCGTACGTGGGTGTGTGGGACCGCGGTCTATTTCGGTATTATTACTACCATAATGATACGTCAAATCCCAAAATTGTAGATATGTCATGACGTTAAGACCTGATCTATAAGATCTTATGTGGAAGTCATATCATTTCATTTCTGACCCGTCGTATCGTAACAATCAGCAGTATAATGTTTGGCGTTTCTGAAGAACACAGTGGTGCCATTCTGTATTTTTCAATGCGTTCTAGATAATATATGCTCTTGCCCATTGGCAGTACTTAATTTGACCAGTCACAGAGGGAGCCAATTAACTTGTCATGATGGATAAGCAAGGTAGAAAACTAACGGCGATGTGTGACTTCGACTTGAAATTACGAGTCTCTCTTATGTCTGATTTCGATAAAGAGCATCCGGCGCTAGTATCAAAGAGATAACGGACCTTTGTCAGCATATCAGTGATGTATAACATATGGTTTTCGTGAACGCGTATCGGTGGGATATTATTATTTGTTTATTATTGTACCATTTGGATTACGAACTTCAATAGAACTTTCTCCTCGTACATTCTTTCTTTTACCCCCCGTAATCATTTTAGTTGCGATTTGAGGTTGAAGTAACTTTAGAATTTCCCATAAGTTGGTATGTATTGTTCTATAGAAATCGGTTTAAGCCACCTATTTCTCGTGGTCTTAGTATAGATCCTAAAATCGAAACGCTTCTACAGGGAGTTTAGGAAAGCCTATTAGTGTGTTACGGCGATCTGTAATTTTATTCTGAATTTTCTGCAGTTATTTTTGGACAGAACAAACCTCAATGATGTATGATCTGGTTATTACTACAACCGGCTGCAGAATGAAGCTAGTTCATCAGCTGCGTTTTTCTTAAAGGAAATGATGAAGATGTAAACCTACTTGGAAGACCTAGATGAGTGTAATCTAAATAGTGTGTAGAACTATGACCTACTTCGATATTACTGCTACTCTAATAATAGACTTAATCCTAATATTATAGATTTGTTATGATGTAACTGTCTAATCTATAAGATCTTATGTGGAAGTCACATCAATGTCTACACCAACTCATCACATATTACCAATCAGAAATATTTGATAGAGAACTAACTTAGGCTAGAGACAGAACAATATATTTAATATGGATAAAAGATATAAGACAACACTAAAGAGTAACCACGCCTGCAAGGTTGAGCCATGCCATCCGATTAACCGGCTACTATTAAACGCAACTTGATTTCGTAAACGTGGCAGTCTGCTTAGTAACCAATCAGAATGACGCGAGAATTATTATATCCTCCATCTTTGTAAGCAATGACGATCGGCTTACCACGTTCCTTGTCTTTTCAGCTATTTTTTGTGTAGCTACACAATTTAATGTTTCAGTGCGCTAAAATGCCGCAGTTAGTGTAATGTTCTAAATGTTGGCGTGCATTACGAAATGACAAATTCTATGATTACATGAACGCAGAGATGACCGTTATTACACTGGGCGATATATTAAGCTTACATGGGAACGTTGCGGATAAATTCACTCGATTAACCAATTAATTCGATTCATTTCTCTTGCCTTCTCCATCG